GGGCGACCTCCCCCTACCAGCCCCACTGCTCCCACTCCCTGGCCAGCCCTGCTTCTGCTGGCCAGTTCCTCTCCCCATCTCCTACAGCCAGCCCCACTGCCCCAACCCTGCTTCCCATCTCCAACAGCCCCCTCTGCGGCCACCAATAAGAACTCACCTGGTAACCCTCACTACGCCTCTGCCAGGAGCCTGAAACATCTGGCTGCATCTGCCCAACCCAGCCAAGGGCTTGGGAGACCCACTGCTGTACGGGCAGTCCAGGAGCCTGGAACACCCTGGCAGCCACGCTGAGGCCCGGTATTTTTTTCCCAGGCCGTGGCCCATGGTTTGGGAAACGCTGTTTTAGTCTGTTAGCTCTCATGTTGTCTGCTCTCCCAGCCTACTCAGCAGCAGCTTCTGAGCAGAGTGATATTCCAGTCCCAGTAGCACACTGAGCTCCCACAGGACTGACTTTCCTGGAAATCAGACTGAAGAGAAAACTGAGTAGAACAGGAAGACTGGGTCTGATTCTCCTCGCATTTCTACCAGAGTTAAACTGGTTATTCCATTGACTTTAGTGGAATTACCCTGATTTACATCAATATAATAGGAGGATCCAGCCTGCTAATTCCCAACATGCAGCAGAGAGGAGTTGCTGGCCAGCCCCTTGATATCTGCAGCTCAGGATATAAAATCCTGTATAATATGTTGATTGGTTAAACTATAGGTTTAACTGATCAATTGCCTGCTGCACCACAAGCAGAGGGCTACTCTGGCCAGGTCCAGATGTCAATTAACTGGTTACTCCAGTAAGCATGCCAGTGAGGCTATGCTTACTAGGCAACCTGTAAAACCTTTATATCCCTTTTGGCAGTGGTGGTATATGGTCATGCCAGGCAAAGCAGCTGACCTGTGTATAACAGTTCTGTGTTTAGCTGTGGGCCTTTATGCACTAGGGAACGTTTTAGTTCCCAAATTGTTTTATGGTGTTACATAAGCAGTGAGGCTGAGTTTGTCAATATGTTTACATTTGCAGCTCAATAAGTTTAATCCTATGGGAGATACACTGGCCTCTGGTATGGGTAAGTAGGCTACCAACTCTCTTTCATTTTATTATTGAAACAGTTGGAAAGCATGGGGTTCTGGCCCCCAAAAAGGGTTCTCCAGACAGATATGCAGAAAGTTTTGTACTTACAAGTTCTAAACCTTAAACTAGTTCCAACATTTATACTGTGGCTGAGTTAACTCCTTGGTAAAATAAATTAATACTTTGCCCTCTTATCCTACCCCCCCGTCTTGATGGTTTGTCAAGTGTTTTGAAAAAACATCCACTAAAATGTGCAGTATGATAATTAGCTTCAAGGAGAAGCAACCTTCACAGGAGAGGGTGCTGCTGCCATCTATTGGCTGAATGGTAATGCTGAAATGTGAGTAGTGAAATGCAAGAAAGTCGCTGTCCTTTACCCTCTACTCCTAGTCTCATTAGCCTTTGCCTGATTTTTGGCTAACTGCACTTGTACATGTTTTATATCCAGAGAGACCTCCTAGGCTGTGTGTAGACTGGCCAGTTTTTCCGGAAAATCAGCCGCTTTTCCGGAAAACCTTGCCAGCTGTCTACACTGGCAGCTTGAATTTCCACAAAAGCACTGACTTCCTACTGTAAGAAATCAGTGCTTTTTGCGCAAATACTATGCTACTCCCATTCGGGCAAAAGTCCCTTTTTCGCAAAAGGGCCAGTGTAGACAGCTCCGATTTGTTTTGCGCAAAAAAGCCCTGATCGTGAAAATGGCGATCGGGGCTTTTTTGTGCAAAAGCGCGTCTAGATTGGCCATGGATGCTTTTCCGCAAAAAGTGCTTTTGTGGAAAAGCATCCTGCCAATCTAGACGCTCTTTTCCGAAAATGCTTTTAATGGAAAACTTTTCCGTTAAAAGCATTTCCGGTAAATCATGCCAGTCTAGATGTAGCCCTAGAGTCTGGGAAAACTGGCCTTATTGAGGTCTGGTTGATCTGGTTGGTCTTTGATAGAACTTTCTCTTTTTATGGAAGTTATGGGATAAGATAAGGGTCATGATAAATTAATTAATTGCCAGCAACTGCTCAAAAAGTTTGCGTGGCTATATGTCTAATAGGTATAAGGTTCCTACAATAGGAGTATGTGAAGGCAATGTCAGGAAGAAATGATATACATCATCATCCTTAGTGACTGGATATAGCTAGAAAAAATATTTTGTTGGGCAGTAGCTGAATCTTGTATTTAAATTAGTACTGTCAGTGATTCCTCCATTAAAAACTAACAAAGAAGAATTTCTGAGTGTTGATATTTTTCCCCCCACAGGCTTTAACATTCTGATCTGGAGTCGGGAAGAGATGGTGACCAAGAAACAGGAGCATCTCTTGAAAGCTATGACAGAACAGGGAGTTAGAAGCAGGAGTTTGTCCAGATCTGGGCTGCGGAAGAAATCAAACTCAGGTGCAAGCAAACTCAAAACCAAGCTGCTTGCTCTGGAACTAGAGGGGACTAAAACAAAGGGCAAAGATCCCAAATCAAAGGGCAGGAAGTAGAAGAATCTGGAGGATTGAACAGGCTTCTCCAGGCTTTCTAGATCATGCTGGACAAATCTATTATGAGGGGCACCTAGCCTGCTTTGTCCTTGTTTAGTAGGGAGTCACTGCTTGTATTCTCTGCTTTCCCCTCTAGGGGGTGGTGTCATTGCTTAACTCCTCCTACTTGGGTGACACTTTATCAAGCACTATGGGAGCCTGAATGTCAGCATGCCCTGTGTTGGCATTCATTTAATTGGACCACACAAAGACCAGCATTATGCTTATACGCTATTCTTGTTCTTTAATTTCAGTCATGGGATGTGAGGTTAATGTGGGAGCAGTCAGGGCTGAGCCGTTGCTGTAGTTCATATTTTCAGAGCTTTAATCTCTCTCCTTGCAGTGCAACAGCTAGCTGTTTTCAGTCATGTACCCCAAAATGTGGGGATAGGTGTTCTCAAAGTGGGACCTAAAGGTTATCTGTTACACTTTTCTCACAGAACTACATCTCGGCTCCTGTTAACCTAGAAGTTTTTATGTTTGAAAGTTAGCTTGTTTACAAAGCTGCCTGGGGCATAGTTGGAATATCTGTCCTCCCCAATACTGCTGGGAGACTCTGTTAATGTCATGCTGTTTATAACATTCAAGTGTTAATAAAATTTTGTTTAGAACAGGCTTTCTTCCTTGGGAGTGACCATCTTAGGGGGTTTGTTGAATTGCCTATTGGGTGTGAGGGGTTCTTGAGCCCACCTCAGCAGGAGTCGCAGACAGCTGGCAAGTATGTGTTAATGTTATTCCTACAAAGCATTCTTGTGAAATAAGATGAATTCACTTACAAACTAAAGTATCTGATTTTGTAGGGTAGCAGGAAACACATGAAAAGAAGCATAACACTTAAAATGACTGCTGCTCTGCCCCTGCTGTGGGTTGTTCATATTGGGCTTGCTCCTTTCTCTCTTTTTGCCCTTTTGTCCTGTGAAAAGGTAAATGTTGAAATAGGCTCTGCCTTTAATATGGGAGCTAATTGACCTAGGCTTCTGTGAGCCCTTATAGCAGAAAGAGTAGCAGGAGCCTGGTCTCAATTTGATTTTAATGAAGAAAAGGCAAGAGGTAACAAAACAATTACAGAAACTCATTCAGACAGAAGGTCTAAATCACGATAGATGCCTTTCCTCCATGTGTGCAAAATCTGCTGCTTTTAAAAATAGCCCCTCCTTCTGCTACACAGGCCCCTGTGAAGACACTGCCTTGTACCTTTCCCTTTCAGTCCTGTGCTGAGGAGCAGCTGCTTGTTCTTTGAAACTGTGTTTGGCTTAAGAGAACTAAGATGTATCTCCAAGTCAGAAACAGGTGAGGCAGTTGCTGAGAGCAGCAGGCTGCTTCTGCTGCCAGTTAAATTTCCCATGCTGGTAGCAGCTCATAAAAATCCCCAAGAAGAAGTGGAGGGAAAGAAAAGGAAGCCTCCTAGTAGCCTCTGCTGCCAGGAAGGGAAGGGAAGGCGACCAGAAAAAGGAACTAAAACTGGGAAGTGAATGTGCAGCATCACCCTATGACAAGTCAGCTTCTGGTGCCTGCTGCAATCTCACTCTTCATCAGAAACTATAGTGGAGAAAGCGGAGGGCAGAAGTTGATGACTGGTAGGCATCAGTAGTCCCCATACCAGCTGTAGTCTGCAAGGCAATGCCTGCAACCTCTACTCAGTTGGCCTAAGAAAAAGTCACCTTTTAGAAGATCCAGGTGTTTCATCCTGACAGGTGAACAGGGATACAGGGTCACTTAAATGTCCCAGCCATTAAGTTGAGCATTTGTTTTTTAAAATACACCAATAGTGGGGGATTATGAAAAACCAGCAAGTTTGCCTCCTGTCCCAGTTTTGCTACATAGTCTTTTGCTGCACTGTAACATTTTCTGCCTGCCATGCACACTTCCTTGGCTCACAGTCCACATCTGTCCCCATCGTGTAGTACAGGGTCTGTAGCTATAGGCAGCCTTGGGCAATCACAACACGGGGAGGTCAGAACAAAAGGCTGTAAGTTTAGAGAGAGATCCACAATTTCATAACCACACCCAATTATAGCTCCACAAATTAGGAGTATGAATGCAATTAAAGTTCAGGGAGCAGGTAAGGTGCATTCTACTTTGTACAGCATTGCACAACAGCCTAGGTGCATGATAAAGCTGAAGGATCAGAAATTGGGTATCATATTGGCTAATCCATATAACAAAGTCCACTGATACCTGGAACTTCTTCAACCTACCCATGGGCTGGGTTCAAAGGCAGGTTTACAATCCTACCTGGACTTAAGGCCCTTCTTTCCAGTCAGAAAGAATTGGGAAGGAGTGGCTAGGTGCCAGGAGCAATTCAGTAGTGGAGAACACCCTCCCGCAAAACCTTTTATGCAACCAGCCAGTGATCTCCAGCAACTACATTTTCTTGGAAAGTAGATGAGGATTCAGCTACTACCCAGCTGGTATGTGTTGGGGGGCTGTGGTCCAGGTCCAGCCTTCGCACAGTAATCAGCCCAATGGCCCAGAACAAAGTGCTCAAATCAGACTGGGAATCACACCGAAATGAAATCATTTGAACCATAATGTAACCAATCAGCTGAGGGCACCTACTCGGAGAGATTCCCTGTCCTCTTTGCTGCTGCTAAGATAATTGGTAGAATTATAACCATTAATATTCATGAAGAGCAGATGACTGTGCCAGGTGGAAGGAAGCCCCAGCTTTGTCACATATTAGGAACAGGCATTCCACACAGCATACTCGCCTCAAGGGGGCAATCTAAGTTAGCCCATCCTGCTCCAGACACCCTAGGATTTCACCCCAAATGTCACATATCATATAAGAAGCAGCCAGAGGCTGGTCATATCAGATCCCAAATCAAGAGTCCAATGCATGCCAGACAGAAGCTGGTCACAGCAGAAGAATGCTCGGTGACTGAAGGGCTTCTGTCTGGCATGCATTGGTCACAGCAGAAGAATGCTCGGTGACTGAAGGACAACCCAACCACTCCCAGGGGTAGCACTGCTCCATCATGCTGCCTAGGCAGGGGTCAGAGCAATTGTCAGGGCTGCTCTTCTCCCTCATTAGAAACATGCCGGTAGCCAGGTGGCTGTGACTGTATACGCAAAAGGACAGTCAGGAGGAGGATTATGAGGAGGAAGAGGATGGATCCACAGACAGCCAGAGCCACAATCAGTTCTGCAAGGGAGAAAGCAAGCAGTCAGGTTGGTAATATTCAAACCAATCACTGTCTCTCACCAATACCCAGCTGGCACTTACCTGTGTCCTGTACAGTGCTTGCTACCTGGCATTCACGTGCCCAATCCTGGGGAATGATAGGATCAGTGAGACGCAGGAAATCCAGCAAGGGGCAGCGCTGGGCACAGCCAGGTAATGTCAGTGGAAAAGGCTCCCTTCCACTCTCATTGTGGAAAAACATCTCCACGGAAAAGTTACTGGGGACAAAACATATATGAATTGAAATGGAGTGCTCAAATAAAAAACAACATATTCCTTCTCCCATTTCCCCCCCTGCCTGGATTTATAACTTTCTGCAGCCATCCTGTGGCGATCACTTTCTATTCCCTTATTCTCTTCCTATGTCACTTAACATGCAACTCTGAGAGCTAGCACTTTCCCATTGTTCTGCATTAAGATCTTCCTTCTGTTTTCCCATTAGGAGCAAGGGCAAGAGGTTCTATTTTGAGGATGGAGTCTTGCCTACATGTTTAACCCATGAGGCAAAGCCACAGCAGATGCCCTTAGTGTAGCTCTCACCTATCATCATCTTGGTACAGCTCAAATATGTGACATGAGGCATATGGCGCTTGCTTCCCATTGTAGACATTCAGAGCCATCTGCAGTGCCACAAGTGTTGTGTCGTGCTAAGGGGGAGAGAGAGAGAATGAGAATCACTCTTCCCACGACTAAGACAGGATGTCTGGGACATCCATCAATAAAAGGAGAGCTCAGAAGGGGATCAAGGACTGGGCCAGGCAAGAGAAACCACACTGAAGGAACCCAAGACCATGCCAGAAAAGGGGAAAATAGATTATGGGAACTCACTAGAGAAACAGATGCCTTAGCATGTGCTGGGGAAGAGCTACACACAGCTGGGAACTGTATCAGTCTAGGGGTCAGTGCTGAAGGCACGTGTGTTGCAGTAGAGCACGCATGGCTAGCCTACATCAGCTGACTCAGGCTCCTGGGGCTATAAAATTATGTTGACGTCTAGACTTGGGCTGGACCACAAGGCTCCTGGGGCTATAAAATTATTATGTTGACGTCTAGACTTGGGCTGGACCACGGATATCTGCAATTTTGAAGCTCCATAGCCAAAGCCCTACAAGCCTAAGTCAGCTGACCCAAGACAGCCATGGATGTTTTATTGCAGTGCAGACACACCCAGAGGGATCCTATTTCTAGGGCAGTTCTGGGAGAGATGCTGGACAGGCTAACTCAGCAGGTTGCTAGAGAGGGAGATGACTGCATCTTTTGACGGCTGAAACACCACATCAGGGCAACACAAATCTATCACAAGGGGTGGTGACCCCAAGTCTTTCTTTCTGCTCTTGCTGACTCAGCCACATGCTGCATTTTCAGATTTGGAATTCACTTCACTGGACACAGAAGGGATGATGCCTGGTGCTATAGAGCAGTGGTCCCCAACCATTTGAGGTTGCTGGGTGCCGGGAGGGCGGGGACACTTGCGTGCCTGGGGGCAGGGCCCCAGGGGCAGGACCTCCCCCCCAGCCACGTGCCAGGGGCCGGCGCTCCCCTCCCCCCAGCACCACACG